TGTTTACCTAGGGTTGGCATTACATAGATTACATTTTACATTACTTGAAATTACATTGTAACTTACGAAATAGTAATAAGATAGCTGCGCAACGTTGTCACGCAAAACCAGGAACGGAAGATGTGAAGAGTGTCAGTATTGTATTTAGTAAACATGTATCAGGTTAGTATAATAAATAAATCAGTATCTATGGGATATAATAATATAAGTACTATCACCTTTAATATTTAAAAAAAAAATAATATGATTATTCGCAAAAATAGTATATGGTTATTATACGTATGTTGTAAGAAAAACGATTTTAAATGGATTTGGAATTTATATATAAAAATTCATTTGGGGTCGATTTTATTATATGTATACGCTAATTATAATATTAATTTAATTAGGAGATTCCAAATTAATTAAATTGGTTTTATACTTACAAGTATTATTGAAATCACAACGGGTTATTACATCATTATATAGTACATATAGTTTATTATTGAAATTAAATTTTCAGAATTCGTGGGATAATTATCCGGAAAAGGGTTGTAAAACTTTTGTAGTCAGATAATCATCAGGATAGTTAGAGATAGGCCAAATTTGATTACATACGATTATTTAATATTAATGAATACTATTTAAATTTTTAGTAAATAAGTAATAATAACTTAGAATTTAAAGCCTTCGATATTTGTATACAATAAGTATAATTCTTAATTACGTAATTATTATAACAGGATTAGAAATAGATATCTTAGATAAATTCTGTATCTCTGAGCAAATGTGAGATTAGTTAATATTTGTTATTAATTTTCATAAGTAATGGCTATTAATATAATTTAATCGATAAGTAATCGTCTATCACTAAGGATAGCTCAGTAAAACGGTAAGACAACGTTAATAGTAAGGTTAATATAAAAAGATAAAAAATTAATCTGATTTGGATGTTCGGATAATTTAATTTTTATCTAATAATCATGATGCACTAACGGAATTAGGGCATTTATGTAATAAATAGGATTTTATTAGCAATATACTTCAGATAATACGTAAAGCCACATTATAATGAATTAAGGAATCTAATTTAAGGAATCACATATTTCTGAGCAAAGATCACATAACATTCAATCAACTCAAAGGTTTTAACGATAATTTCTCATATGATATAAACATCATTGATATCAATAGGCAACGCGTAAAGATATCAGCAGATAACAAGAAGACTATCATACCGGTACACAATTAGTCACGCATTAGAAAATACCTTAACACAAAATGATTACTATATTAATCCAAGTGTATATAATCATGATTATTTGAACGTATTTAAACTTGATTTTTTTTGATGCCAACACAGAGGAAATAACAGGTGCACGTATGTGTATTTCTAAATCGAGTAATTGAATACCAATTTTATACAATTATACAATAATCATAGGTATTAATAGAGTAAACGGTTATAAAGGCAAGCCCCATTTTGTGCAATTAGAAAAAAACCTTAGCATAACATGATTACTATTTTAATCTAATTGTACACAACTATGATTATTCGAACGTACACGATTACTAATTATAGTTAATTTGTTTTTTGATGCCAACATAGAGGGAATAACAGGTGTTCGTACAGTACGTGTATTTCTAAAACGAGTAATTGATCACCAATTTTACAATAATCATAGGTATTAATAGAGTAAACCGTTATAAAGGCAAGTCCTATTTGGCGCAAATCCAAATCATGCGAAAATGAAACAAGATAGATCAATGAAAACTAAGGGCTTAAAATACAATCAATAAAACAAAGAGCATAAGATAGTAAAATTCTTATAACAAAATTAATAATAAAAGTATAATCTCACGTAAAACAAGTAATAACCTGATAAACATAACAATCCAAAAGCCACGGCAACAATAGTAAGAGTTGTATTAAAATCAAGGACTAGACAAGAAAATATAGCACATGTATAATATCAATGCAAAAATTTATTGCACAAATACAGAAATCATGAGATAAAGTCATCAGGATCAATCATCCAATCGGAAAAAATATTTTGTAAACATCGCTAACTTGCAGGTAAACCATACACTACGTTGTACGTTGTACGAACTCCGTTCCTGGTATGTAACTTTACATTAAATAGTGCATTAAACGATAGAGCTAATTTAGATAGCAAAGTTAAAATTAATAATTAAAAAAAGAATTATTTATATTAACGATAAGTATCTTAATAAATCACATGACTTAACGGACCCACTTTTCAGTCAGTTATATGAATCGATTTATCCTGTTTAATGATTCATGCAACCAATCAGTATGGATGAGATGACACGTAAAAAAACTTTTTTCATTATAAATATATACATGTCTCTAAAAAATTAATTAAAAAAATCATCTTCTCTAGCATTAAATTGAGAAAGTTTAGTTTTAGGTCAAAAGCTAAAGCTGGCAAAAAATTTTGGAGATTTTTGGATGTAGCCAGCATTAAGAAATTAAATTTTAATTAATACAGAAATTACAATTTTCATTTTTGATTAGATCATTTTTAATTTTACGTATAATCTTTCCTGACGTTCGTAAATCTCAATCATCATCTTATCAATCTTTTCACCAACAGAATTATCTTTTAAAGACATTCTCGAATACTTGTCTAAAGTCTTAAAAGTATCATAATAAATCACATGACTTAATGGACCCACGTGTGCGTTTTTTTTGACTAAGAATTAATATAAGCATTTCCTTTGTTCGAACATTATTAAAACTATTCGACTGGTAGCTTTATCATTAACTATAATTTTTAATTTAATTTTTTTTAGAGATATGCAATAAATTCATAAAAGACTTTTTATATAACAAATATTACAAAAAAATACATTTGGTCAATTTATATTACCACATATTACAAAAATTACATTTGGTCAATTTAAAAGATTAAGAATTTACAAACTAAAATTTGTACTAAAAAATGGAAATAAATATGGAATAGGTAACACATCCGGTAAATTTTCCAGAAACGAAGAATTAGAACATATAATCATGAAAATTGATATAGCACCACTTCATATAACCAATCTGTTTGCACAATACTGATTGGTCCATGAAGTGGCACTGCATCAATTTTCGTGACTACATGATCTAATTCTTTGTTCCTGAAAATTTGCCAGAAGTGTTGCCTTTTCTATATTAAATCCAATAAAATTAAAAAATACTATGTATAAAGTTATTAAGATTTTAAATTTTCAATTCAATAATTTCAATGTCATGTGAACTGTCAGTCCTTATCTTACTGATCAAATATTTTGTCAAAACTCTTAATTTCGTGTTCTTCTTTTCAATCTTTGCCATTAATCGTCTAATCTCTTCTGTTAATTGTAGTGTTAAATTCTGAAAATAATCGTTATAATATTGAACAAAATATTCTGAGTTTGTAAAACTTCGGTCATTTTCTTTTTTAAGATGCAAATAATCATTTTCTTGTTTGAGGAGCAAACATTCTTCTCTGACTCGTTTATTCTTTAGCCTGAGGAGAAAATTAGACAAATCACATAATTACAAAAAATTGATTCAGCGTGACTTCATGTAACCAATCTGTTTGCGCAATACTGATTGGTCACATGAAGTGGCACTGCATCAATTTTCTTAAATACGTGATTTGTCTAATTCTTCGTTCCTGGAAATTTGCAGAAAGTGACTCCTTTTCTATATTTAATCTGATAAAATTTAACTGCTTATGTATAAGTTTATCGATTTTCGATTCAATAATTTCAATGTCACTTTCAGATCACGTTTCTTATTGATTTGGGTGATTCGACAGTTTTTGATTGTTCAAGTATTTTTATATGATTTTCTAAGCTTTTATTATGTTCTTCCAGAGATCTGCAGTCCTTAATCTTAATGTCTAAAAATTTTTTTGAAACTTTTAATTGCGTGTCCTTCTTTTCAATCATTGCCGTTAATCGTCTAATCTCTTCCGTTGATTGTAGTGTTAAATTCTGAAAATATTCATTATAATATTGAAAATATTCATTGAAATAGTTTTGATAATTTTTTTGCAACCGTGTTCTTTCTTTCTAAAGTACTTCTTTAAATTGCAGTCTAGAGGGTGTGGCAACTTAGTGAAGTGGTCTAGTTGTCACCCCACCAAGTAGCAGGTTGAGAGTTTGAATCCTACAAACGACGATTTTTGAATTTAATCCTGTGTTACGGTGACTATCGTCTGCATCGGGGAAAAATGCCTGTAACCCGTTGGTGTACCAAGGATCGGCAATACCGGGACCTGGAAGATTTGGGGCATTGTGCAACCCTGGTATGCCAGGGAAGTACAAGGA